CCCACCTCCTCCTGGCAGTTGGGGAGCAGAAAGAGCACAAGGCTTAGAGTTACACTAACTCAGTTTTCAGTCCTCAATTTTCCTCTTACTGTTATATCCCTGGCACCTTTTAATCTCCCTAATTTCACCTGTAAAATAGGAATAAGAATACCTCCACTTCCGGTGGATTTGAAAATGGAATAAGATGATGTATTATAAGTGCTCATACTTATTGGTCTCCTTCACTTTGATAAACGAAGTAGAATTCATGTTAGTGGATTCAATAATTTTGAATTCATTAATTTTAATTTCTAAATACGCAAGGAATGAATGAATAAAACAATAGAGTTTCATCCTATGGAAAATAAACAATTTACCACTCCCACTCCCTTTTTTCCTTACCCATGTTTGACTCACTCCCCGCCTAAAAGTTAGGGGCAGCTTCACTCACTACATTGTCAATTTACAGTTCAAAAAAAGAGCATGCCAAGAAGAATCCAGCCACACAGACCTCCCCTGAGTCCACCACCTTCTCCACCCCTCTTCTGTCATTCTGCACGGTGTTGTAGGACGTGTACACGCGGGGCTGTTTCATGTGTTCTGGCTGAGAGGAGGTCCCGTGCAAAATCAGCTTCCAGTTCACAATTCTCCCTTCATTTTGCATTCTTCCAGACTGATGAATAAGCATATATATTTTAAGCAGGAATCTTTACAGCTGCCAATACTAAATTGCAATGTTAGCTGTCTTTAGGAGAAAGGCATTCTCAGAGAAAAAAGCAACAGTGTGTGTTCTGAGTAACATAAAACAAGATCCTTCAGACTGTCAAAAAAGGATTTCATAGTCTAAATCTAATTTTAAAATTTTGTGCATTCCGTGTGTAGAGCTCTGTGTGAAAAGAAATACATCACTGGTGGGGGATAAATGGTGATGGAAGGAGACTTGACTTGGGAGATGAACACACAATACAATATACAGATAATGTATTATAGAATTGTACATCTGAAACCTATATAACCTAATTAACCGATGGCACTCCAATAAGAAAAAAGAAAAACACACATTTTTAAAAAGATAATAAAGGAAAAAAATCACTGGATTTATTCTTGCTATGAAAATTGACAGTTTACAGGCTCAAGGATTTAAAAAAATGATTAATTGCTTCATCATTTAATTAAAAAATCAGAACTCTCTATATTAATCTCTATATGGAATGTATTCTTGAAAAGTTGACTGTACATCTATAAATAGAATTATATTAAACAATTATCAACTTTTAGAAACATTCCATTGGGGAAAAAAGTCAGCCTCAATGGAGTATTACAAATAGCCTTCAGCATTAATCAACCCTTAAAAACTGTACATTTATGGGAATAATACTTTTCAGAAGCTCAAAAACTATGTTTAAAATAATGTGCGGAAATCTAAAATGTCTACAAAATATTCAAAAGCATAAAGTCAAATTTTGCAGATTTATCTTGGTAAACAGTTTTTCTTAGTTTCCTGATGGTGAAACTGATTTAAAGAGTGGAGTCCACATTCAAGAACAAGACAATCTACTAAGAACATTTCCTGTTCTCCCCATGAGAGCAGGAATTTTTACAGATGCCAATACTAAATTTAGCTGTCTTTAGGAGAAAGGTATTCTCAGAGAATAAAGTAACAATAACTATAGAATTTGTATTAATTTAATTGACATCTTCAGGAATAATTTCTTTTTAAAAAGCTATTTAGGCGGGTGTGGGTTAGAAGAGGTCAATGGGGGAAATAGGAGGACAACTATACTACTTTCAGCAATAAAGGTAAATCTCTCTATATAAAAGGCTAATATGCTAAATGTCCCTCCAACCATCTTACCAATCGCTATGAAACACACTGACCACCAGGGGGCATATGCTCAACACAGGAGCTGCCATGATGCACATTGGCCATTTACAAAGAAACAGCACCACGAACCTCCCCACCACCCCAGAGCGACAGCCCACCAAATTGCAGCCAATGCTGCCAAGACCCCATGGCACAATATGCAGCCCACAGCCCACCCCAGCCCAGAAATGGTCGCTGTGGGCACCAGGTAATGACATCACATAGCAACACAGGACTTCCTCTCCCTAGTGACTAGCCTCCTTGGAGTTTCTTCAGTCCAGGAACATGATTTGCTTTATAGCCAGGTGCAAACATTTTATACTTTAACCAAATGTCTGTGAAGCGTTTTCCCGTGCCTCATCTCATTTAATCCTCACAGAAATCCTTGAGTAGGTAGATAGGAGACTTGGTAGAATCCTATTTTCTTTTCATTAGCCGGAAAATGGAAATTTAGAAAGTTTAGAAACTTGACCCGACTGAAAAGAAGTAAGAAATGGTGGACCTTGAAAATTACTTCAGTTTTTCTCACTGTGCAGAATATAGTCAAACACTGCTGCAGTTCAATATTTTACCCTTTGTTCTCCCTGCGTGATCTACAATAATAATCTGCTTCATGTTGATATTTACTGCTGTGTTGCTGACAATTACCTGAAAGAGAAGTTGGGGTGCTTCACTGGGCTGGAAAAAGTTTAGCCAAATCAGAAAGCAGGTCTAATTAAGCAAGTTTATTCTATATATATAAAAGGCTAAGTTGACTCGCACGTGCACAATACATATAAAGCTCTCGCTGGCGCCAGTGTGTTTCGATACGTTATTATCAAATGTGAATTTGGTTGACACTTGTATTATAGAGAAAGGGCAAATAGAGATATTAAAATATTTCTTCTAATTAATTTTCTTTCAAATGTGCACAAATCCGTGCACTGGGCCACTAGTTTTAAATAAAAAATTATTTAGACATTGAAATCTGGCACTGCTGATACTTATAACATATCTCTCTCAGGAGGACTCAGACCAAAACCCCATTTATTTATATGCTCACCTATAGAAAATGCTGGAGAAATGATGCAAAAATAAATAATTCAGCTGTATAAATCAGTGTAATTCAGCTGTATGAATAATTTGGTTTTTTGCTCTGACACCCCTTTATTTTTGTGACTGTATGTTATAATTATAGGAAGATATCAAAGAGTGTTAGTAAACATGGTGAAAAAGCTGAGACAAAACAAAGTCATATTAAATAAGTCTTCTCTAATAAGTAAGCTACTTCTAAATGGCCACTGTAGTAAATATTTGTAAAAGTTCCTTCATGTGACTCCAGTGGAGTGTCATAAGCAAAGCTGGTCTAGCATTTAACTATGGTTTTTTTTAAAATATATTTTTATTGATTTCTGAGAGGAAGGGAGATGGAGAGAAATAGAAACATCAATGATGAGAGAGAATCATCGATTGGCTGCCTCCTGCACACCCATTATGGGGGACTGAGCCTGCAACCTGGGCATGTGCCCTGACCAGGAATCGAACCATGACCTCCTGGTTCATAGTTTGACGCTCAACCACTGAGCCATGCCAGTCTGGCTAACTATGTTTTTGAATACAGCTCATTCTGGTGAGTAGGTCATGTGGGACACTTGGATTTGTCCCACAATATGTCACACTGTATATCAGAATATCTTCTCTTTCTTCCTCTATGGCCAGTGCCTAATATTTTTTAAATCTATGTAGCCAAGTGGCAGGACTTGAAACACTACATCTTGTCATTACTTCAACTACAGAGTGATCAAAGTTCCTTAGGGCCCTGATGAATGATGACATCAACCTTAAAACAACTTCAATGTTTTTAAAAGTAAGCTTGTGTTTCTATAGCCTTTTCTTCTTACTTACCATGTCTGTAATTCGCAAAGTCCAGGTGCCTACTGGGTTCTCTCCCCATGTGTGAACAGACATGAAGTCCCAATTTTTAAAGCCATTAGGAGATGTATCCCGCTCTCTTTCAGCCAACAGAACAGTGTTGGTTCCTATTTTCATACAAGAAATACAAGTTAATAAATGTCCTAACAGCTCTGATAGGACACACTCTAGCATCTGATAATGAAAATGAAAGCTGGGAGAGATTAACCCTCCAAATGTTTTTATCCACAGTACATTGCACATTATCTGACATATAATAAGTTCTCAATCCATACTGTAGAAAACAAAATAATGAATGAATATAGTAAGGTTTATTTGAATAAAGAGAACTCAGAGACCTATGTTTACAAACTAAATTAAAGAAGAGAATCAAAGACCTAAAATACATTTTGATGGAACTGTCATTTTGAAATATAAGAGGAAGTTTTGAGAATTTAATAGGTGTCTGTGTCTACAATCTTGTGTATACATTAAAAAGCTATGTTAATTTAATAATCTCTTGTCATATAAAACTAGTAATAGGAGTAACTCTAAATTTTCAAATCCAAGCTTTCTATAGAACAATAAATAATATTACTTTCTAAGTGAAAGGGTCAAAAAAACTAAAGGGCCATTAATGAAAAAGCAGTCCACCAACCTTTCAAGACAATTCCAAGATATCTAGAAAGTGTAACTCCAAAATTAACAGAACCTATTCAAAAGCTGTAAGAAGTTCATATCCTGGAAGGACATTATGGAGATAGCTCATTTTTCCTCACACATCACCTACAGACATGGAATTTATTCAGAGACTGCATGTGGAAGAGTGCTGGGACAGCTTCTCCTGGTGGATTATGGTTTGTGTTCACAAGCTCTTCCCATCCAGAATCTCATCTAACTTAGTGCCCTCTCAGGAAAGAGCAACTGCCCATATATCACATCATCTGCCTTAATAATATCATTATGGGAAATTTGTTAGTCTTCTCAACCCTCTTTCATGGATCAGAAGTCTCAGTTTTTCAATTGATTCTGATGTATCTATCAGCTTTATTAAGTATCAGAGTAATTTTCACTAACATGTTACCTGAGAGAAAAGAATGATAGATCAGTGACCTGGAAAAATGAGCACAATTTGAAAATGTATATTATGGTATTCATTAACTCCAGAAAGGCTTATTAATTACATATTATTTGAATAGACCTTGTTCTTTGCTTATCTAAGGACCTGTGGGAATGAGCAGGGCAGAATTCTGATGTTAAAAAAAAAAAAGGGGGGGGGGAAGAAGCATATTTTTTAAGACCTGAAAATATCTATTGGGAGACTTAGTTCTATAAAGAAACAAAAACTCATTGATTTGAAGTAATTGAATTTACATTTAAACAAATGGTTTAAAAGAAAATTTTAAAGTTAAAAAAAAATTACCAAGAGCAGAAGTGAGTGTGACATGAAGGTCTCCTCTTCGGGAATATTCAATTGTTGCTTCAAATTGTACATGTTCCAGGGACTTGATAGCATTTTCCTGTCCCTCACAAGCTCTTGTTGGAATTTCAATGATAACTTCTCCATTAGCTTTCAGGGCTCTAAATATATTAATGAATCTCCATTGAATAAAGTGTATCTCTTCTTCCTTACACTTTATACAAATATGTACACATCAGTCTTGTACTTGATACTTAACTAAGCTTGTTGTCTCTCCCTATTATGAGTAGAACCTAATTCAGGATTAGCTATAAGTGAATAATGCATAGAAAATGGTAAGGCTTTTATAGAAATAGAAAAAAAACCCCAATTCTACAGTTTCATCATAAATAGCAAAATCAATCCTGAGAAAAAAGAACAAAGCTGGAGGCATCATATTTCCTGATTTCAAAATATATTAGAAAGCTACAATAATCAAGACAGTATGGTACTGGCATAAAGACAGACATATAGGCCAGTGGAACAGAATACAGAACCCAGTTAAGTGTTCTTACCACAATAAAATAAAAAGAAAAGAAAATAGTAAAGAACACAGGTACTTGAAAAAAATGCTGTTTACTGTGGAATCAAATTCAGGCATGTTTGCCTTGGACCCATCAAAAAGTGGTCTATTATTGCAATGGACATGTCTTCCATGCCTTCTACCCTTGAGTACTTTGTGTGAGTGGGTCTTCAGTATAATCATGATTGTTGTGATAGAATTAACAAGACAGTCATAGCAGATTCTGCTTCCAGGGCTAGATGTGGTGGGTCAGATGTGGTCTGTGTAAAAGCAGTATGATAAAGGTTCCTTCATGGAAGAAAGATGATGAATCACACAGCACTGTGGTATGAAGTGAGGCTCTTGAGGTCTGGATAATACTTGTTGGCAAGTACTGTATTTCATCAATTCTAAGATGCATTTTTTCAACATTTTATCATCTTTGAATTTGGGATAAATCTTAAAACTGATGATTGATAATAGTTTAAGTAGCTATGATTGTTCTTAGTGCTACATAAAACAATGGTACACCTTAAACATAATGCTAGATGGTAGGTAGGCTATGAGAAGAAAATGCAAATATGCTAACATGATTTACAGATCTTTGATCTCAATATTCCCCGTGGACCCACAGCGAACACTGGCAAATGCTACCTCCATCTACTTCAGAAAGGAAGGTGAAAAAAATTAGACAAAGTGACAAACATATCAAATAGTGCCATGGGCACACAGTTATTCAAAATTCCCGAGACACTTACCTGGGCTCAAAGTCATTGTCCTTTATCACACACTCTTTTTTCTCAGGCACACTGTTCCAGGTTCTCGGATCAGCTAAGTCCACCAGAGCTTTGGCATTTAGCAGCCCGAATCCAAACCGACTGTTCACCATCAAGCCTGCGCCATTCTTTTTCCATCCAGGGTTATTGGCCAGTGGGTCATACTCAGAGGTCCAGACAACCAAGTGCTGCATATCTCGCCAGGTTAGATTTGGACTGGATGGAAAGTGACCCAAAACATCTTTCAGGGACAAAATAAAGTTTCCTTGCAAAAGCAAGTGCTAAGAACAAGCATTTCTATTCAGAAATTATGAAGTACCTTTTGTAACTGTACTTAATGTAATTCTAGCATTACTATTTGTATGTCTTTTCATTTAGAAATCAAAATACAGTATGGAAAACTTCTCCTCATACCATGCAAGTTAAGTTCTTATCATTAGTAAAATTTTGTCTTCAGCATTGTAGAAATATAGGACTTGGTTCATGATTCCTAATTAGTTAAGTTTACCTGGAGCAAAAATAAAAATGACAGCACCTCCTTTCATTCTTTCAGTCTTCTGCTGTCCATTAACATCCTTGGCATTTTTAGCATTATTAACAAAGTCCTCGACTTTCTTCTTGAGCAGACTCAGATTTTAAAGATATGGGCTGGCTTCCTACTCAAGTAGTTTTTGTTTCTTTTCTTTATATATCAAAAGTGTCAAGAAACTCTTAGCTACTTGAGATCACTCTTGTAAGATCACTATGCTTAATACTATGGGGATATTTAAAGAGGTGGTTCTTGTTTTTAAGAAGCTTACACTCCAGTAAAAAAACTAAGGTTATTTTTTTATTACTATAATATATCTGCTGAATAATGTGTTTATGGCATAATGCACTGCAGGAGTTTAGTAGAGAGATAATTATTTCAGGTTGGGAAGATCTAGGGAGATTTTGCTGGGAGGAAATATTTGAGCTGAACTTTAAAGAGTGGGTAGAATGTCAAGAAGTGGAGTGAGAGAAAAGAGAATGAGGCAATGGAGCAAAACCTGTGCGGTGGGGGGAGGAGGGGGGAGGAGGTGAAGTACATGATGTGGCTCAAGTACAGTGAATAGTCTGGTTTGCTGGAGCAGGAAGAGGTGATAAGGAGTACTGAGCCAGATGGTGAAGGCCTTGACTGCCAGGTAAGGGGCTTATACTTTATCGTTTGGGCAATGAGGAATCATTGAGAAATTTTGAGCAAAGAAGTGGTTTAACCAGAAGTCTTGATACAATTAATTTAGCAACAATATAAAGATAATCATAGGGTTGTTAGGTCTATTATAATGCAGATAGAGCCTTTCCCAATCACCCTATGTAAAATTTCAGTTCTCCCAACACTCCTGAGCATTATTCTCCTGCTCTACTGTTTTCTTTTATAGCATTTATCACCTTCTAACATATTGGGTAATACATTTGTTTTATATATCATTAATGTCTGTCTCCCCTGCTAGATTTAGCCATGAGAAGGGCTGAGATTTTAATCAGTCTTGTTCTCTGATGTGTACCTAGCACTCAGAAGAATTGCAGGCACAGAGTATAAGCTGAGTAAATATTGGATGGCTGGATGATTGAATGTGACTACATGTTAACTAGCCCCCAAATATAATTTTAAAACTTACTGCAATTAATCAGTAGAGTCTTTCAAGATCTCCAGCTTTCCCTTAGCTTTGAGACTTGCATTGTGTCTATTAAGCCAGTCAAGCATTAGTCCTCAAGGTTTCTAGCTTATCACTAGGTTGTGAAACAACCCTCAGGAAATCTGGCTCAATTTGCTGTTTTCTCCCTAGAGTCAATAGCATAGTGGTTAAAATGTCTTCTGGTAGGTATTGCAAAGGATACCTGGCAGGCCTCCCAGGGAAGCTCCCTCCCCACATCAGCCTGGGTGCAGAGCCCATGCAACTAGGTCTCTCTAGGGCAGTGGTTCTCAACCTTCCTAATGCCGCGACCCTTTATTACAGTTCCTCATGTTGTGGTGACCCCCAATTTCATTGTTACAAATTGAACATAATTAAAGCATAGTGATTAATCACAAAAACAGTATGTAATTATATATGTGTTTTCCCATGGTCTTAGGCGACCCCTGTGAAAGGGTCATTCGACCCCAAAAGGGGTCGCGACCCATGGATTGAGAACCGCTGCTCTAGGGAGTTGCAGTCAAGGACTCAGCTCCTCTACTTGGTCATACTCTTCCCATATTTACATTCCTAGCCCCTCACACCTTCTTTCTTAGGTCTCCTTATCTGAGGCCTTGGGCAGAGGTCTCTGCTAAGGCCTCCTTATGGGGGGAGTGGGAGAAACCTTAAAGACATTTTCCCCCCTCTACTTTTCCACTCCTAGCCTTCCCCAAGCCCCACCCCACCCCAGAATCCATATAACTACCAGAGCCTTTTTTTGGTTGGGGGAGGGGTCCCTCAACAGTGAGAAGACCCTCATGAATGTGATGCTTCACCTGACCTGTGACTGGGGCACCATTCTTGGTGGAGGGGGGGGCGGGGCAAATGGACTAGGGTAGTCATTGTTTCCTCTTGTTTTAGATTCTGCCAGTGTTGTAAGAGATTAAAGGCTTAACTCTTTCATTTTTGGTTTATTGCTTTAATTTGCTACTCTGACGCCTAGAAGCTCAGTAGATTCACTCTCGTATCAGCTGATCTCCTGACAAACATACCAGCCAGAGAGTGACTGATGGAGGCCTTAGAAAGACTCCAGTTCAGTGATTCTCATGGGTTCCAGATTGCTTGCACCATAATCTGGGACACTTGTAAATATTGAAAATTCCCACGTCCTATCCTAAACCTACTGAATCAATATATCAGGGTAGAGCATTATTTGATAATCATATTTGAAAAAACTAACCAGTTCTATGTTATAGCTAAAATAATGAGTTGGAAGAAAGAATACAAGCATATAACTAAGACAATTAGAAGTCCTTTCAAATCATGGAGGACAGAATAGGGAGTAATAAAAGGCATATTACACTATATCTACTACCAAAGACCCGTGTGGCTTTAAGCACGTCACTTTATTTCCCTGGTCCTGAGTTGACTCATTTATAAGAATAGAGGGATGAGGATAATAATCTCCAGAATTCCTTACTGTTCAGACCTCCTATCTGCCCAGTATCATAAATACCTCATCTTGTCTCCACCTTGGCCATCCCACATTTAGGAATAATTAACTAGCTGAGGAGAAATGGCTATTTTTTGAATGTAGACATTAATTCTATCCTATAAAGCATTTTATTGAAATTCTTGCATCTTTCCAGTCCTTTAAAGGGAGTTTTAGGTAAAAAGCCTTTTATCAAGGTGATCAATGGGCAACTCACCACTTTCTGATTTGACCATCTATGTGACAGGTGTGTCTTTGGAGGTTGGGATGAAGAAGTGTACTAAGGAAGCATAAGGCAGGGTCTTGATAATCAAACACAAAGCATAGACTTCCTATATTTCTATAGTAGAACATTTGTTTTATATTTAATTGCATGTTTTTTTTTTAAATTTTCTTTTACCTATTCTTTACAAAATATTCAAGGGGGTTTCATTGCCATGCAATTTGGAAAATTAAGCCTATTTTCCCAACAGAGTTATTCTTCATTTGTGTGATTGCATTTCATAAATGAAAAGGAGCTGCTAATAATCGTACATTTCATTCATGACAGCCTCCCTTTGTTAATTAGTGCTCAACAGCACCACAATAATTAAAAATTTTAAAGCTGCATTAGGTTGCAAATCAAGGATATATTTATAGAAAATAAGGGTTGTGGAATTAAACATTGAAATTAAGCATTGCTTCTAATTAGAAGAGTGTAGGTAAAGTAATTGGAAACAAAATTCTAAAGTGAAAGAGTCCTAGAGGCTGTCTCATTCTGCCTCTAATCGCAACTAGGTAAGTCCAGTATGTTGAAGATTTCCTAATCTGGAGACTTTCCAACATTTCACAACCCACTGAGTCAAGGATTTCTTTGATGTGGTTTACCCAGAGGTTTCATGCAGCATTGGAAGTTTACTTTCCTTTCTCTAGCCTTTAATGAAAATAGAAGATTGGTTCATCTGTTTATTTAATACCTCCAAACATGTCAAGGGATTCAGTGTTTCACTACAGAATTTGTGTTCTCTATTAAAAATTACTCTGATTTCCCTTGCTCTCACCACAGAAGACTGAGGTTATTGTCTGCCATCTTTCTAACGTATGCTCACTGCATGACAATAATGGTACCATAGGCATTTATCGAAGGAATTCCTATCTTTTTTATGCCTATTGAGTACCGGAATGAACATCTTCGCAATTACAGCTAGATGAGGTTGCAGAAAAAAACAGTTGTAAATTAACTCTTTATAGCAGTGTTTCTCAAAATTTGGTTAAGCTAGCTACTAGCATTCAAACTGCCTAGGACACTGATTAGAAATGGAGGTTTCTAGGCCAAATACCAGAAACTTCTGAATCTGAGTTGATGGCAATGGGACATAGGAATCTGCATACTACATAAAACTCTGAAAGTGATTATTATCTAAGCTGGTGTTTGAGAAACACTCTTCTAGGGAAGAAAATTCCTCTATACATATTTGAGCCAGAAACTATTCTTCCTCCTTCCCTCTCCTCTTCTCATTCCCTGGTGCTCCAGCTAAGTCATATTTAATGCAATATAAGTAGTTTGCTTGTGACAAGGAGTCTTTTATGAGGAACTCATAAAGCATGAGAGTTAGGATGTTCCTTTATCAGCCTCAATCTTATTAACTTCTCTTTGTTTGAGAGGATGAGCAGCTACTGTTCAACATTTCCTGTGCACCAGGGCCATGGGAGGCAGCATAATGTACTGGTTGATAGCACAGGATTTTCCCAGATTTGCTTTTTCCTTACCAGCCATCTTTCCAGCCCATCCAAGTAGGTAGACTCTTGGTATGAGTTTTGCTAGGCCTGTCTTGTTTAGCCACTGTGGCGGTCTCATAGCTGAGATACTTGGGACTAAATCGTAGCTCCACAGGTGCCCCAGGGCTCTTGGAACTACTCTGGATTAATCCTCTTAGACAAAGACTCAGCAACTTCTGGGCTCTTCCAGCTGTGGCACGAGCCAAAGTGTTCTCTTCTGCTACTGTGAACCTCATCTACTGAACATGACATGAGGGGACTGCTTTGTCTTCTCTAGAGAATATGGATGTTCTTCTAAGACAGTGATGGCGAACCTATGACACGCGTGTCAGAGGTGACAAGTGAACTCATTTTTTTGGTTGATTTTTCTTTGTTAAATGGCATTTAAATATATAAAATAAATATCAAAAATATAAGTCTTTGTTTGACTATGGTTGCAAATATCAAAAAATTTCTATATGTGACCAGCACCAGAGTTAAGTTAGGGTTTTTCAAAATGCTGACACGCCGAGCTCAAAAGGTTCGCCATCACTGTTCTAAGATAAACTCCTTAGTAGGAAAGGTAATAGTAATTTTAAAGTTTAATCACTTTCTTGAGCATGCAACCACTCCACCTGACGTGACATTTAAATATTTCTCACCACACAACACTAGAAACTAGAAATGAGGACAAATAAAAACCTGTGAGACAGTTGGATTTTTCCCCTCTGTGTTAAGTATTAGACTATCAGTCATTATTATAAGGGAAAAACATTGTTGTTAAATCCCTTTTTAACATAATACACTAAAATAAATTCCAGGGTGATTTAGGACTTAAATATGGCAAAAGAATAATAATAAAAGACATATAAATAAATGTTTAATCTAATTTTGAGTTGTAAATATTTTTCTGAATGTAAAAACAAAGGAAAAAACTTTTAGAAAAGACTGGCAAATGTAACTGTATACATATTAACTTAATTACCTTAAAATTACATATAAATAAAATTAAAAGGTAAATGCCTGACCAACCAAACTAAACTAAGGCATAAAACATAATCAAGGCCATAAAAAAGCAATTACAGATGATAAATGGCCAAAGAATATAAAATACTGTGCTTCATTAGTAATGAAATAAAAGTATATGAAGATTAGATACCATTTGCATGTATCAAAATAGCAAAAACTTTAAAAGATAATAAAAGTAGCTTTAATCAGGGCTTAGGAAAATGGTACTTTCATACATATAATGCTGGTGGAAATATAAAATGCTATAGTTTTTCTAGACAGTAACTTGTCAATATGTATTAAAATCATTGAAACATTCATACCCTTTGACCCAGAAATTCCAATTAGGAGTGTTTATCCTGCGGAAATTATCAGAGATGACAATCAATATTTATGGACAAGGGTGTTTAAGCATGATTATATACTTTTAATAAAATCTGCATTTATATAACAGAATACTATGAAAAGATAAAAATTTTGTTTTTAATTCTCATTCCTCTAAGACTGGGATTATATAATATGAAAAAAAGGATGTTTTATAAACTTATCATTCCTAATACTACCCACAGAAATTATCTACATAAAGTATTTCCTGGTGGGAATAAACAGAAGTGAGAGGGCCTTGGAGCTGAGTGGGAGGAGAACTTGGAGGAGACCATGAGTTTTTGAAGGTCAAGGAACATTGATTTACACAAGAGAAAATGCTCTTAACATATTATAGGGAGGATTTAAAAACATCACAAAATAATGTATATGTGAAGATCCAGTTTTGTAAGATATGTGTGTACTAAATCTACATCGAGATGTTAACTGGAAGAGAGTTTATTTTATTATTATTTATAGTTTTCTACTGTAACCATGTATTCAGAAAACAATATGTGTTATTAAAAAGGAGGGGGAGAAGCAGCCTTAGTAATGGCGATCAGAAGCTTTCGGGGCCTTACTTTGCTTCCAGGGCCAGAGCGAAGATGCCAGCAGCCAGGGGTGCCGAGGCCGAGGTGCCCGTGTGGGTCCCCGTACAGTCATTGTGCAGGTCAGCACTCGTCTGTGTGGCGCCAGAAGGGGAGAGAAACATGGGAGAACATGTGAGGAGTGTGGTCCTGTCCCTGGGGGAAACCATACCGAGGGCCGCATCTGCTATGATCAGGAAACTGAGCTGATTCGATTCCCTGCTTCCTTCTCTAAACCACAGACGGGTGTTTGCCATCTGCTGATATTTTAGTTCACTCTCCTCTCCATGCAACTTGTCTATAATTCTGGCATCAGGGTGCCTTTTGGGGGGATGAAGTACTCCCACTATGAATATTTTCTGCTCTGAGATTCCCAAACGAAATGCTGTCTGTAAAAAAGGGACTGTTTCAAAATCACTGTGAATCATGCTGGCCCATTAATCATCAGATCCATTGTGTTTGGTCTGGCATATTTAGAACTTCTGCTTCATGCAAAATTCCCTGTTGCCTTCAGATTGACATTCGACTGCCTCTTCGGTACAAGAATATAAAGCCATTCTGATTTCGACCACTTGAACTAGTTGTCCAAAACTTGTTTAGTGTGTAGTTTGCACTCACTGTTGATGTAATTTGATGCCCATGAGTTAGTGTCCACATTGGCACATTGATGAAAATGGTGTTTTTTCCAAATGGAAAGTGTGCTAGACTTAGATCTAGTACACTGAATTCTAAAACTGCTCTTCAGTAGATGTATTCCCAGGGCAAGGCACTTGGTTTCCCCATCTGTAAAATGAGGTTGACATTTCCTGACTCAGATTCTGAGGCTGGAATGAGATCCTGCTTATGAAAGCATCTTTACACAATATTATTGAACGTAAAGAATTACCTAGGCTTATTTTAGCTTAATTAAGAAGCGGTTGCTGAGACGAAGGGAAGAAACCAAAGCGACTTCCAATCTGTCTGCCTGAAGAACCACAGTACTGCTGGTAGAGCAAGTAGCTGGGACAAAGGATTACTAACAAGACCCCACCCAGGCTCCTGCTCTCTGGCTTTTAGCTAGTGATTTCAATGTATGGGAGGGAGGTGTGAAAAACTAATTTATTCTATTATCACCTCCTTTGGCTTCCCACTTGGAGTGGCTGAATTTCTCCAGTTACGGTGGCTCTGCTCCTCAGAGGTTGCGGAAGCAAGGCTGCCCCTTTTACCCGTTGACGCAAGTGAGCCCCCGGAGATGACTGTGCTGAGGAAGAGGTTTGCGCAAGACAAAGACTATTTATTGCCACCGTCTCAAATAGAATTCACCATCTGTCTCTATGGCTGATTTACCTAAGGAGTGATCTTTACAAAGATGGAAATTCTTCCTCCTACTTCAGAGCAGAGCAGCTCAGATGTGGGACAGTCTATGAAATGGTGACTCTGAAATGCATAGCAGACTGTTTTCTCAAAAGCAATTCTGGACAACAGCCAGGAACTCTGACCACCGAGGAAAATATGTCCGATATGCTCCTTTCAAAGGCAATAAAATATGCCCGCCATAAAGAATCCCTTGGTAGCCCTGGCCGAAGTGGCTCAGTCGGTAGGGAGTCATCCTGTGTACTGAAAGGTTGCTAGTTCAGTTCCCTGTCAGGGCACATACCTGGGTTGTGGGCTTGATACCTGGTAGGGGGCATGCAGGAGGCAGCCAATCCATGTTTCGCTCTTATATGGATGTCTCTCTCTCTCTCTCTCTTTTCCCTGTCTAAAAAATAAATTAAAAAAAAAGACTCCCTGGGCAGACTGTCACTATTATTTGTGTAACTGAAGATATGGGCATGAGAGGGAGGTCAATGCTTTTAAGTTAAGACCACAGTTTTACTGTCGAAATTAGAGTAGTTGACAAAAGCAGGCAGAGTTCCAGAATTGTGATCCAGTAGGAAGAAGACAGTAATCCTGACAATTTTGTTGAGATGCTATTAACATGAATTTTACAAACTTTTCAAAGTCTAGTCATCTAAATGACCTGCTCTCTCACTGAGATTAGAATATACATACTTTAGCTAGTTGGCTCTTTCTGTGTCAGAAGTTAAATGTAGGACTTTAAATTTTCAAATTAAAAGTGCCTCTCTGTTCTCAAAGCTCCACATGGCCCTTGAAGGAAAATCCAATAATTGTCCTTGGCAGTCTGACTCATGGACGCGGAGACACAGCCACACGTGGGCTGGAGATGCTCTCTGAGCATATACCCTGTCCGAGCTGCTTATTCGGATGCTGAGAAGTTCACCTCAGGGGAAATGTAGCCTGTTATTTTCCTGTAGGTCGTTTGTTCTTAGGAGACATCGCTGGTGTATGCTCTGTATTTTTATTATCTGCTAAAGGGCAAGCCAGACTATATCCCTGCTATTAAAGGATCAGCAAGTACAGGGTGATAGAGCCCCTACAATCCTGAGATGCCCTTTAAGGCTGTTTTCAGGGTGGCAACACAAGCTGACTAGACGTTTAGAGTCTTGGCTGTAGGTAATGACTGACTGGTGGCTTCTCAGGGCTGAGTTTAAAAATGACTGAGAGACAACATCTTCTGGGCAGAAGCGTAATTATCCCCGAGAGAGAAAACTTCCCAATATATGCCAGCCTTTCAAGTGAGCAAAGGACGAGTCTCCCCAATTGAGCCATCACGCTTAAACAAATCAATTTTACCAAAGGATTCTTGTGAATGCAAGTCATGCTCTTCTACCTAAGCAGAGAGAGTTAGAGAAAAGCAACATACGATTCGCTGGTCAGTGTAATCCCCGCTGCTGTACGAGGTGGCCAGCGTGGAGGAGCACTTCTCTGCATACCAGGGGGACAGGCCCTGCTGCGAGGCACTGCTGATGGAGATGGTGTAGATGCTGTCTGTGTACCCATCGCAGTCACAGTTATCTCCCTGACGCCCCCCGTTTCCAGATGCCCAGACGAAGATGGAGCCCTTTCCTTGTCTCCCCTGAAAGAAAAACCTGAATATATCACATCTATTATCATCTATTGGGGTCACTGTCACACCTCCATAACATCCCCAACAAATACATGCTGAGACAGTTATGGTGGCCTTTTTCACCTCTAGGTACTCCAGCATCAATGCTGGAAATCTTGTGAGACTTCCTATTGTGAAGCCACGGGCTTCTGGCTCTGCCAGTCCTTTCTCTGGGCCCTTTCTGGGGTGGGGCAGAGCTGGGGCTTTATTTTGCAGATTCGTAATCTGGCCCTTAGCACTTGCTCATTTTTTTTCACTCTTCTCTTGCCTTATGTCACTACATTTGAATCTTTGAACTTCCTATCCTTTCTGCTTGAATCTTATGGTTTGCTAATAGAACGAAAAAATCCGGCATTATTCAGCTGCACTGAAAGGGACTCTTCAATTGAATGGACCTCGTCAAGGCTACTCTCTCTGTGATTTTTCAATATGTGCTCTCCAGAGTTTCTACTTTTGTTTCATCCTGTGCAGAACAAGGCCATAGAATACTGGCAAGAATACTGGCAATAAACCCAAGGCACACGTATTCACCAGGCACGTGCAGAGCGGGAGGTAGCACCCTGTTATATTTATATTTAAGGATGCATTTTCAGAGCATTTGAAGGAAGTCTGGGTAATAATTTATCTAGTGTGAAAATTCAAAACAGCAGGAAAATGAGAAAGGACATAATCCAGAGTATTTTTTTAAGTATATGTTTTAAGAGTAATAAATCTCTGTTGAGTGTCAGACCCAAATGGGGGGAAATATCTCAGCCCTTCTATCCCTCTTGAAAAATGATTTGGCTCTCTGAATGCATTTCAAATCATAAGCAACTGCAAGAAATTGACAACCATTTCTTTCCATATAAGCTAAATGTTCTTCCCTTCTCAACATATCCACAGTCAGGTTTCATTCCAGGTGGGTCTGGGTTAAGCATCTCACCTGTTTAACACCATATTCAAATGCCTTCTGGGCTAGTCGACCAGGCCCCTCCACAGTTTTCCCATCGTCGTTCGGGCCCCAGCTCGCACTGTAAATGTCCACATGCCCAGGATTGAATCCAATTGAACTGGCTTCAATAGCATCGGTCACGATGCCATCCAACATTCTTATGCCTGAACAGCAAAACACACAAATAATAAGTTGATGTCAGGATGTACATGTAGAATGGCATAATGCTCTTAACATTTATTTTTTAAAAGGACTGTCAAAAGAGTCAAAAACAGGGTAACCACTGGATGTCCCAAATGCCCATGGCCTGCTGCTAACAGCACAAAGGAAAGATACAATCACTGCCTCCATAAACCTTCTTACCCGCTTTTAGAGATAACTATGTGCTATGCAGTAGCCATGGTTATCGTGGATTACAAAATGTCCCACCTCCCTCCACTACTCCAATAACCTAGAAATGACAGTATAGCTTTTAGAAAGAGGCACCAAACAGTCCTCCTTTGACATACCTGCTCATGACTATACCACGAACGGCTGTGGCCCAACCTGTGCCATAAAAATGACTCTGTACAGGAAACCTTGGAGCTTGCAAAGGTCTACCCATGATAGGAAACTAACAAATAGGAAAAGAACTCTTGTTTCTAAGCACTGATTAAAAATAACCCAGAGGCCATTTGTTTATGTGTTTGCTAAGAAACATTTTCAAGGAACATGCTTCCTTTTCTTCTAAATAATCTCAAGGATGAAATCATTGCCATGGATTTTGCTCCCGAGGGAGAATCGTTTTTTCATCAGCAGAAGGCAGACTCGGTAGCTCCTTGTGCTTTCCTACAGGCTGCCACCCATCATCAGACTCATGTACTCAAGTGCTAGGAAGGCAAAAGCAATTTAGACGGATACAAGAAGCTACCTGGTTATTCCTGGCTTCAGGCTGATAATGCAATAGAGTGCACAGCTTCAGATTTTCACACTGTTATTTATAATGGAGCACAGGTAAAAAACACGTAATTGACATGATTCATGAAAGTCATATTTATTTTCTTTAAAAATGCATTTGGGGGGAAATTCCAGCTCTACAATTTATGAGGTGCATGATTTTGGGGGCAAGTCACTTAACTTCTCCCTACCTCAGTTTCTTCAACTATAAAATGGAGATAACAGCTCACATGTATTGATGATATACTATATGCTGCTACCATTCTTCAGGCTTTAAACTTATAAACTCATCTATCCTTACGACAATCATTTGAGGGGGGTCCTATAATTCTCCCCATTTTAGAGGTGGAGAGACTGAGGTCAGAGATGGACAGTGACTTGCTCAAGGCCACACAGATTGAAATTGGGAAGCCAGGACTTGAGTACCCAAATATGTCCTGTTAAATTCCAGGACACACTGCCTATAGTGTGTTGTTGGATAAGTGATGGCCATACGGTAGATGCTTAAAATGAAAATTATTATATAAAAATGCACTTGGGGCTAGACTGTCAAAGGGTAGAGTAATGGAAGAAAATCAGTAGACTTGGAATGAGAAGTCTTGTGTTTTAGCTCTACACTGCCGGAAACTGTTACCTTGAGAATCTTGCTTCTGATTCCTCCTTCATAAAATAAAGAGATCAGATGATTCTCTCATAAACTATAGGTACTTAGTTTATTATCATTTAAAAAGTGAATTCTTTTTCTAGGTGATTACATAATCTGTACTTCTTCATTTTCATTAAATTAACATGGCACTTTGATGGTGTTAGTGTCAAAGTAATTAGGAATGACAAAATCTAAGAGTGTGCTGTATTAGGGAGAGAGACCTTATATATGCCAAGATGGATATTTATTTTATTTATAAAAAGGAATACAGTCTCTGTGAGCTCTTTCGGATCCAGTCTCCACCACCCTTATCCACAGGAACTGCATCAATGGGTTCTCTTGTCTTCCCACCGGGTTCCACCAACTGAGGACAGCAGCAGGAGGTTGGGGGATGAGGGGAAACTGCGGTACTCACTCCCCGATTCCTTCTTGCCTGGAAATAGCTTGGTGGTTGTACTCAAGGCTGTAGCTCCTGTCCAGTGATTCTCTCCTATGGCCACAGCTTTCTGTCTCCAGTTTCCACTGACTCCTTCCACTTGTTCCTTTGGGCCTAAAGATGGTAACATCTGCCTACATCTGTTAGCCCTTGTTGGTTTCCTTTGAACTCTTGTAAACAGTTCCTTTATTTAATTGCCCTGATGGAACTTACCATATATTTCCCCACAAAAACATTGACTGAAACAACTAGAGATTCTAAATTCTTGCTATTGAAGATAACCTTTGGCTTCTTAATATAACTAGTATGTATTCTTTTTATTTTTAAAAGCTGTTCTTTGCCATGAAATGAAGCACTGCAGAATTCAGTGGCAGGGAAATTCTTTGCCTAAATTTTTTCCTCCTCTTGTTCCCTGAATAAGCACACAACACGAAAACCTTCTAAATCAGAACACAGAGAAAATTAGGTTTGTTTTAAAAGCTATTCAACATCTCAAACCCCCTTCCCATATGTATTGGCTTATATTCAGCTACCATTTTCTAGGAATCCAGATCTTTTGATTCATTTGCAAATCACACCCAAGTTCTACAGCACATTTTGTATGGAGTCCATTTCTTCCTCTTGTTGTTGAAAGCCCCCCCTCGCCCCACCTCATTTACACCAAGTAATGCAAGACTCAAGTTAAAAGTGCAAAACTAGCCTGGCCAGTGTGGTTCAGTGGTTAAGCATTGACCTATGAACCAGGAGGTCACGGTTCAATTCCCGGTCACAGCATATGCCTGGATTGCAGCAGGGTGCATGCAGGAGGCAAAATCAATGATTCTTTCTCATCATTGATGTTTCTCTCATGCCCTCTCACTTCCTCTCTGAAATCAATAAAAAATATTTTTTTTAAAGTGCAAAACTATAGGAACAGCCCTCTGCTTTACCTCCAACTTTGGCATCATATGCAACTCCGACCCCACACTTGTAATTATTTGCTTGCATGGCAATTTCTCCTGCGCATCTGGTCCCGTGTCTGAAGATTAAAAAATAGGAATTATAAAACATAAATGAGGACAAACATTTGTTCTGTATATGAATCCATGGTACATGGATATGTTAACTTTTTGTCTGCCTTTTCTCTGGTTTCTTCCCATCAGCATTAGATGAAATATAGGTATCATGTGAAGGGAATAGGCACAGGAGCCAGAGTATATGAGTTCACATTTTAGCTTCCGCCACTAACTAGTGGTGTGACCATGGGTAAGTGTCCTCAAAGGGTTGTGAGGTCACATGAGATACTGTGTATAGAGTGCTTAGAATAGTGGTTGGTACATAGTGGTTGGACTTTTTTGGATTAGGTTACCCTGGACCAGCTCCAGGAGGATATGATAGAACAGAGTCTTCTCCCACGATATCCTCCTCCTCTAACCACACACCAAACTAAAACATTTGAGGGTTTCCTGGTACTAACAGAAGTCTGAGATTTTAAGAAGACACTACAGGCTAATTGGGAAACCAGGAGACTTCTGCAACTCTGATTGGGACCAGAGGTCTGAACAAGATGGGGTTTGCAATCAGGCAAAAAGGGTAATTGATGATTTCTGAGTATTTGGAGGGGGAAAAATCCATCTCTAATTCAGACCAAAGCCCGTCCTTGTTGGTATGGCTCAGTTGGTTGGGCGTCACCCTGTGCACAAAAGGGTTTCTGGTTCGATTCCAGGTCAGGGCACATGCCCAGGTTGTGGGCTTGATCCCCCCCGCCACTAGGGGGCATGCAGGAGGAAGCCAAGCAATATTCTGCTCTTACATCTATGTTTCTCTCTCTCTCCTACATCTATTTAAAATAAAAATGAAAAATAAAACAGAACAAAGCCCACTATTAAAGCATCAATTCTGAAATTTTGGGGATAATAATTGACTTTTCCCACCCTGACCTCAGAAGGGCCTATAAATTAAGAGAACTTTAATGTAAATTTGTTGATTTTATGATTATATTCTATTATGCAAGCACCTGGGAGCATTGTGAAGGCTGTTGGTGCCTTGGAGGAGCTGTTGACCAGATATGCTGACATAGAGGAAAAGAGAAGAAGGGTGAGCTAGTGCTGAGCAACTCTGTCAGCCAGCTACTTTTATAAGCTATGACACTAGACATCTATTAATTTTGCCTGGTAAGAAATATATAAATCCAAAATTAACTGGGTAATCCAAAATAATTGTTTCACTTATCTCTTTTTCCTAAAGTACCAGAGATGATTTCCCACTAAATGATAGTCCTGCCTCTTCTGAATATTGGCTAAGAATCCTGCGTCAGAACAATGTAATTATCTTTAATTCGGGGTCTTCCCTAGTGCAGCAGACATCTGCTTCTTTTTTGCCTCCTAGAATTTTCCCCTTTTGGGAAGTGGCCCTCCCTCACGCCTTGTGATTCTTTTTCTCTCACGAGGCTCCTTCTCCCAGACAAGCTTTCAAGGATTAATGCAGAATATAAAGAGATTTCTATTCTTTCTCCAGAATCTTCAGCTTTAGGTTCCATCTGAGCCACGTGGATCTTGTTGCTAGGCAAGATTCTGTTGAGATTGAAGCTGTTAGGTGAGCAGCACTAGGAGATGGAGACAGAGTATTTGGTGTCTTGATGGCACATTACTTGAGCTCCTGGATCTTGCAATGCTTGAAGCTAGAGCATCCCTTGGGTGAAATTTTTAATATGGATATTACTTAATCTTTGAGTTAGGATTCTCTCACTTGCAACTGAAACTACCCTGACAACTATACCCATTTTCTAAGAAATGTGTTCACATTGAATACATAGAAGGTGCCTTGTTTGATGGATTAGTCCTCTTTGCCTTTCTACAAGGAAAAATTCAGTTGCCATCCTCCAGGAAATCTATTCCCAACAGTCACCACTGCCTATATTTAAATAATATGGGAGACAGGGCCCAGGATAGCAAAATCTCTAATCTGAGCCAACAGAATCAACCTGTTTGAAAACATCCCTAGCAGTGTACACCTGTCCTATAAGTGATGCAATGTGACATGACCTATTATTTATCTCTCCTTACACATTGAGGACTATTTTCCTGAAAGGTGTAGTAGGATCATACTACAAATAGGGATTAGTATTTTTTCCTCCACTTATCCTCAGTTTCCACTTCCATACTTTGAAAAAGAAGGAAGACTTTATCAAAGTGGTTCTACATCATTCTTTATAGATGTGTAGCCTCTTCTCTTTCCTTAAATCAGGTTTGAGGTAAAATAACCCTCTATTATCTTAGAACAATGGTAGCAACTGACATTTAAACAAATTGACTTTTAGAAAAGTATTCCACAAGATAGTTTAAAGACTACTATTATACTGGTTAACATTTCCTTGTCACACATGTTATTTAACTAGAATCTGTAATTGGTATTGAAATATGAATACAGATTCATGCCAGCTTAATAGTAAGAGTTACCTGCACTTTTAAGATTTTATTATTTAGTGATTCCTCATTTGATTTGCAGAGGAGAATTCAAATGCAGCTTCTATTAATCTCATTTACATACTACTTCAGCTCCTGAATCTTGCACTGCTTAAAGCTAGAGCATCCCTAGGGTTAAATTGTTTTTTAATCCCCATATTGCTTAATCTTTGAGTTACAGCAGCAACACAGATAGTTTGGAGCCATAATGCCCTGGAATTGGGTGATAATAGGTCTCAAACTGTTATAAGGCCAAGATAACATGGGGCCATTCATTTTTTAGACCTGAGGGATTTATTTCTGACAACATGCTTGAAGAAATTTTTTATAATATCCTTTGATAAATGATGAGGATGCTACATTTCTGGTTGATAGTCAAGAGGATCCTGAGAGATAGTTGCTTATAATTTTCAGATAGTAGATTCTGAACTGGCTCAGAAAATTGACTTGTCTCTGCTATCTCCTATCACATTCTTGTCATGCTGATTTCTCACTGAAAAGAGGTGTATCTTAGTTGTTAAATGAGAAGCTTTAATCATCGTCATAGCAAATACAACTTTTTGTTTGTTGCAGGCACTATGCAAGCCAATTACATATATAAACTCACTTAATCTCTATCATAACCCAATAAAGTAGTTACTACTACTATTATCCCTTTTTAATAGGTGATAAAATTGAGGCAAAAGAAATTAAATAATTTACTTAGTCACTTAACTATTAAGTGGCAGATCTAATACGTGATCTCAATCTAGCTGCAAAGTCTGTACTTAACTGTTTGGCTACTCTACTCTCTCTCTGTACTATGTGGGAGATCCAGGCTATGCTCTGAAACTCAGAGTTTTCAGGTACAAAATAAGTACATTTATTGGGCTACTTCCTTATGGGCCTTTGGAGCTCTGTGACTTGGAAGAATCTATAATAATAAAAGCTTAATATGCTAATCAATCGAACAACCAAACAGCAGAACGACCATCCAAATGACCATCCAGATGACCTTCCGGACGACCATGCTATGACACACACTGGTGCCAGGCCAGCCAAGGCGGGTGCGATGCAATTTGTTGGGGGGCCCCGCCATTGCCCCATGATCACCCCACAGAAGGAGGCCCAGGCCACCAGCCAGTGATACTGTGGCAGTGTGCGGGCCAGCCAGCAATCACCCTGCAGAGGGAGGCTCAGGCCAGCCAAGCGATCGCACCCCACACCTGTCGCCCGCAGAGGTAGGCGACCCTTGGCAGGAGAGGGGGGGCAGTGCCACACAGATGGCAAACAGTGGCAGCAGCGGGGGCGGGGCCAGCTGCTGGCAGCCGGGGGAAGGAAAGCCCCAATAGGCCCTGATCGTCGGTCAGGCCTAGGGACCCTACCTGAGGAGTCCCGGATTGCGAGAGGGTGCAGGCTGGACTGAGGGACACCTCCCCATCCCATGCATGAATTTCATGCACTGGGCCCCTACTTATATTATAAATACTGTGTTTATTATAAATATTGTGATGTGAGATTTCCTCTTTTGGGAGAAGGATAGAGAGAAATCTGTATCCCTCTTCTCATGAGTAGAAAAATTCTAGAGAATATCATTTCATTAAGTATTCACCTATCATGCAGCCATCACCAATGTTGGATCCTGGGGCCAGACCCAGAGTACACTGCCTGGGGAGGAGGCAACACCTCCAGCTAACAGCCTCCTCTACTGCACCCATGTGTCTGCTGGCATATTTCCTCTTACTCTTGACCAAGTGGGTGAGGTGAGAGTTGTCATTTTTACTAAATTCCAAGAAGGGCACTCCTTTCTTTCAAGCACCTATTGCCATTTCTTTAGGAAGTTCCTTTCAGGGGGCAAGGAAGAGATGCTTTGTCACCCACTTTAGGAGAAAAAATAAAAAATAGAGCCAGAGAGGTGATGTCCTCAAGTCACTCTCAATACTGGTAATGAGCAAAGTTATGACAACCAGCCAGGCTAACATCACACAGTAATGTCCCAAAAGAGCAGATGTTCTTCCTGGTCCTGCACTGCCCTGACTCAGAAAATGGCTGAAAATTTACATGGGGACCCTGCTGTGAGTTCTAGAAACATCTCACTTTCCACAAGGACACTCCCTCACAGTTCTTATCGTATTGTTAATAGATGTTCTAACCTCTCATGGGTGTTTGCAGTTAACCCCTTTAAGAAATAAACCCTAGAAGAAGTAAGTGGTACTGAAAGAAGCAGTATCTTGGAACCCTCCTCAATCCTCCTCTTCTCCCATAGCAGGAAATAGACACCCAGAAGTTGAAGCCAAGTCCATGAGCTCCAGCCTCCCTTCCTGGGTTTTGTCGGCCTCTGGAGGGGAAACCATTCAAAGAAACAACTTTAGGTCAAAATTATTCCATCAGCCACATTGGAATTCTGAGAGAGAATAAGGGAGAAAGAGAGAATAAGGGATAAGGAAAGTGAAAGTGAGAGAGAGGAGAAAGAGCTTGATTGACCTGAGTTGGATAGTAGTCCAAGAGAGAGAAAGCCACGTGAAGAGAAGAGGGAAGCACTTTACGGGGCATCCACAAAGCTTTTTGTGGCTTGCTCTTTCCATTCCCACTTGTAATAGCAAGCCCTAATTTTGCCTTGGCTTGATCTGTTTTGATGTAAGTCTCTTCTAGGTGGAGCAAATAAAGAGGAAAGTGTGCATGTCTCCTTAAAGTCTATGAGATATATCATTATGCACAAAGATGAGTTCACACATGGACATTGACACTTGAGGCCACGTGCCTAGAGGGTGAAGTTTCTTTGGGGTTAGGAAAGAAGGTTAAACTGTCTTTGATCTTTACTTGGCTTCCTGCTTTGGCAGATCTGGCTCTTGGCCTCCCTCATCACCCTGTAGCTGCTATGGAGAGTCAATATAGGAGTCAGAAGATATCCTCTTTTTTCCCCTTAACTTTAAAATATCCAGCAGGAGCTCTGGAACGGGGTGCTAGCTAATCCAATGACCCAGAGACTGTGCTGAATTTGACGACCATGCCTCAAGATACTTTTCTCTTGTCTGGTGTCTGGCCCTGCTCTTCTGAAGGGACTGGTCAGCATGGTTGTGGCCACCATAGGAAGCTTTGGGGATTTATTATTTAGGCATCTGTATTTCTTTTCATGACTAACATCAAGCATGTTTCTAATATGGGAAAATTAATAGAGGAATAGGGAACAGGGGTGGGCTAAACATTTTTACTCTTTATGCCCCAAGCATTCTTTTTAAAGCTATAACTATTCAGTAACATTTGAAGGGAGTATCCTATATAATAAAAGGGTAATATGCAAAGTGACCCTAACGGCAGAATGACAGGGAACAACCGGTTACTATGATGCACATTGACCACCAGGGGGCAGATGTTCAATGCAGGAGCTGCCCCCTTGTGGTCAGTGCGCTTCCACAGGGGGAGCCCCATTCAGCCACAAGCTGGGCTGATGACTGCAAGCACAGTGGCAGTGGCGGGAGCCTCTCCTGCCTCCTCGGCAGTGCTAAGGATGTCCAACTGTGGCTTAGGCTCGATCCCCTGGGGAGCGGACCTAAGCCAGCAGGTGGACATCCCCCAAGGGGTCCCGGACTGTGAGAGGGCACAGGCTGGGCTGAGCACTGCTCTTCCCCCCCCCCCCCCACAAGAGTGCATGAATTTCCGTGCACCGGGCCTCTAGTTTTATAATATAAGAAGAAATTTTAATTGAAATATGGTTCTATAAGCCAAAAGAGAAGTTTGGGTTTCTGTTTTAAAAGCAGTACAATATTGTGGTATGGATAGTGTGCATGAACAGTTCTGAGAGCTCAAATAAAAGCACTTTAAAGTACTACACCCCTGGCCCCCACCCCCCTGGCAAATCCACATTTACTCACTTGTTCTCATTTGTGGGATCATATCGGGGAAATGGATCATGGTCATTATCATTAAAATCATAGCTAGCCTCTGGATCCTGAAAAGACAACAAAAATAACACTGTAGCATCATAAAAAATGACACAGCACTTCCCAAGCCTTCTACCCCTATCCCCTTTCCAGACTGGCTGACAGCTTGAAAGTCTGCATTTCAGAGTTTCTGGCCCAGTGGTTGGTCATTTTTTATACCCATAAACCTGGAAGAGACAGAGAATCAAGCCAGCATCCAATTCTCAGTGAATGTTACCAAACTGATAGCTCATGGACACTCATAGGATACTAAAACTGGAGGAATCAGTTCAGTTAATTCAATCACCTTATTTTCCACATGAGAAAGTTGAGGTCCAGAGAAGTTGAATGGCATAACTAAGCTATAGAGCAAGTTAGCAACACTGTGACACTCATCTCTCTTATGAATATAGGTGAAAAGAGGTGGATCAGGTTCACAGCGATCTCTTTCCGCTTCCCCAGGTATACCAAGTAAACGTGTAATTTAACTAAAGAGGGTGGGCTGGAAATTCAAGACAAGCTTCCAGGTCCACCCCCTTTTCAACCAGATTGCTACACTTAAACTCCCACTAGGAATTCTATCACACTACAGCCACTTCTCTATATTTTCATAACCTTTCATAATTCTTACTTTCTGCTAATCTTTATCTCTTCCTTCCCCTCTCCTCCCCTTTGCTCTTTGGCTGTGGAATGTAGCTGAGTGGAAAGGATAAGAGAAAGACAAGGGACAATGTTAAAGATGAAGCACTAATCTAAATAAAGGCCTAAGCTATTATGGAAAGCTTCATAAACAATTAAGTAAATACTTTTGATTTACTTATTTCCCACTTCTAATAAGCTTTTTTTTCTCAGCTTGTCCTTTTTGCACTGTGTGATGCACACTTTGAATTTGCATGGAAGGCATCCTCTTCACATAGCTTCACGGTGTGAGAGATGCTGACTCATGAGGGAGGTGAAGAGGAAGACTGTGAACATGATCTTGGGCATCAGGCTTGATTTGATTACTTTAATGTCACTCGTACTGAATGGCATGGAGTCTGAATGACTTTTCATAATTTACTTGGTGTAGGTGCCTTTTCCCACCCCCAGTACATATGACTTTGTATAGTCCTTAAATTCTTTCGATGTCCCCTGATACAGTAAATTCATATGGGCTGCCAGGGAGGTGAAGGAAATGGCAAAACCTTGGCCCATCATTCCCTGGGCCAACATCTGAGCAGCTTCCTGCTTGAGGGAAGGAAAGTCCTAACTGTCTCTGTGGACAGCTCCCAGACTCACATAATTGGCATAGATGTCTGTGTGATTCCACTCCAAGCCATCATCCAGTACAGTGATAACAACTCCTTTGCCAGTGATGCCTTTTTGCCAAACAGGTATCACATGGAGATCCAGCTTGGGCAGGGATGCAGTCATCCTAGTATCTTGCTGGTAAAGAAACACAAAGAAGCATTGGTAAAGGCATCATTTGCTTGCTACAAAATGAGAAGTGAAGCCACAGTCCAGAGACCCATCTTTGTTTTCCCTGAGGTCACTCTCCTCTTTAGAAGAAGGCAATTAGGTGAAATAAAAAACAAAGTTGAGGGTAGGGCCCGGTGAATCATCAGAGTGCTGCTCTTCCCAGTTGTTTCAATGGAAAAGCACTCCAAAGAATGAATCACCCTGTGCCCTTCTCTTTGAGCTACATGGCTTTGGAGAAGACCTTTGTCCCTAACTTTCATTTATAATGACGTGTTCCAGCCTTTCCTCTACCTAAGCTTTATCTGATAGCCCATGTTTCTATCTCCCCCAAATCCTAAGCTTCTATTGCCACAACAAACCTACTTTATATTGTCTTGTTCACAGTCATTTGTGAATGGTCTTTATAACTTTTTTGAAAGGAAAAAACAGAACTGAGAATGACCAGGATGCTGTGGTCTCACCAGGACTTGCAATTTAATTGTCTACTTGCAAATATTAGTGATTTAGGGAGTAAGTATCCGTGGGAGGGAATTTGGGGTTTTCTTTTGCAAATAGCATTTCAGAAATGTGTGGGACTATAGGAGAGAAGAGCTGAACAGCAAGGGAACACAGACCTGAGCACATCCCCGTGCATTTGAGAGAAGTACATTAGAAGTGTGCCAGGTTTATGGTAAAGGGGTCAATAAGACATTTATAAATAACAATCAAAAGTGTCAATGAACGGACTGCTGATACGCCTCAGAAAGAGGTTGGGGAAGACCTTACTAACCAACATGAAGCTGAGTTAAAGGAGGTTGGAACTACAGGCATATGGTTGGCTAAAGCCGGGGAAGAAGGCCTCTAAGTCAGTCACAAGAACAACCATAGAATGTGGTTGTTAAGAGTAGGGCCTCTGGAGCTCTGAATTATGAGCCACTAGTAACCAGGTGACTTTGGCAAGTTATTCAACTTGCCAGTGTCTCTGCTTCTTCATCTTTTAAATGGGCAGAATTGCTATATCTACAACATAATGTTATTGTAAGAATTAAGTGAGTTCTTTCACGTCAAATAGTATAGAATAGTATTTGGCACATAGTAAATGCACAGATGTTAGCTAATGAGACTCTTTTTCAACGAGCAAGTGATGCTTAGGTTAAGAGAGAGTCAAAAGGAATCGATCCCCTTTGCGATCCATTATGCAACAAGGATGTCTAAGCCTTAGCTTATGACCATCATAAAAATTTATCTTTTATAAAATTCTTAGCATATATTACTACTCTGGAGGCTTTATAGTAAAACAGAAGGGAGAACACTTTGTAGGCTAGCAATGCCCACATACCAATAAGGATTTGGTAACTATCTTAAAGGTAGAATGGTTTGCAAAACTGGACATCTGCAAATAGATATCTTTTGTCTTTCCTTGTATTCCTTGCCTTGTTCAGAAATTCTTACCTGTAAGCACATAAGAATTGTCACTCAGAGGTTTATATACAGAATCATGTTTACTGTATTCTTTGAGTGATGGTTCTCAAGAGTAACTTTAACGAAATGTGTTGTTGTTTTTTTGCATTAATACTGTTTTGGAACCCCTAACTTGCAAGACATGGTTCTTCTGCATTACTCCAGGTAAGCTTAAGAAGACATGAAGATAACCCCCACAACCATAGAAGCTGAAGATCTGTGTTTCAGACACTCTCACCTAGTAAAACATAAGATCCAGATCATGGAAGGTCCCATTAGCCCTGATCTCCAAGTAACATAGCCCTTGCTGAATTCTCCCATCATTAAAACAAATCTATTGTGCAGATGTAACAAAATAAACGAGGGTCCCACACAGTCCTGCAGGTACTTACCAAGTACCACTGCTGCTTCCACATCGGATCATTGAAGAGATTTACTGCTGAGTCTCTCAGAACTGAACGTTTACTTCTCTCCTTTCCATACTGTTGTTCAGCCCATATAACCTACAAGGAGTTTTATAGCAAAAAAAATCAACAGTCAAATAGCAACCTCTGTGTAATCATCTTTCCTCTAACTAGGCCTAATACCCTTCCCATCAGAGTTTAGGCAGCTCCATAATGTTTATGTTTAACTGCAGATCAAACTGGCAGCTCAGTGAGAAGGATTTGCCCACTGGGGAGATGAACATTTCCTCTATTACAGTAAAGTGAACCTTTAGGGGGAGGAGAAGGCGTCAGTAAAGTGATGATTGCCTCAAATTATTTACACTGTGATTACAGTGGAAGTAAAAGTTCAGCCTGCTTTCATCAGCAAATGGACCATAATACCCATTTTTATATTGAGGTTCCAGGACTCTGTAGGTGAAAATTTGTTCATGGAATGAGTCAACAGGCTAAGAGATCCCAGAGACTGTTTTTATGATGCTCTTACAGCTTAATTTCTCTTCCATTACACACAAAAGGTAGAAATAGCAATGTTACACAAGACATGTCTTTGCAAATCTGGCTCCCCTGTGCTTCAACCTCCTACTTAAGAGTATTTAATATAAGAAACAGATCCAGGGTGATGAATGAGCACTGTTGACCATGCACACTTACCATTAATTTAGTCTCATGTATTATGCAAAGAGATCTGACAGTACAAAAATTACCTGCCCCACATTTATGGCATAATCCTATTACACTTGAGGTCCTGAGAGGGAGAGGGGCTGCCTTGTGGAGATATTCATTAGGAGATAATATCCTGCTCTTATTTTGCTGAGCAACAAGACTGTTTCCTACCCAAAGCATAGCCTCTGTTGTAAACATGATGACAGTCCAGGGTGTGTTGGGATATTGTTAATGTGAGGATACTTATGAGTCATCTAAAACTAAAAACTAAAATATAATTTGCAACTGAAGGATAAAACTATCCACTAAGACTGAATTTGCAATTAGAAAATATACTTCAAGCCAATTATAAATATTGGAGGGACTTGAGAGCTAGAAATTAGTCACTATAATTTATTTTTTTTAAAGTGCCTGTATTTTCAAGCTTAATTGTTTGGCTTAAAATACCCAATGCTTGGAATATACTGCCTGCCTCTGAGTCAGTCTTTGAAAGCTGGCTGCTAGGGAATAAGAACTAATTTTTGAGGAAGAGAGTAACTTATAGTTGGAGATTTCATCAACAGTCATAAAGATAGAGGGTTGCTGCATTTCAGAGGGCTAATTTGAAAGGATATCATTCCCCATCAAAAAAAGGCAATAAAATGACAAAAGCAATTTTTTAAAAATGGAATATAAAAAGAGGCACTCTGACATTCAATTGTTGGAAACTGTTGTGATCAGTGTCACTGACTGCAGATCCCTTATTAATCTCTAAAGGAGCAAACCAAGTAGAACAGAATAAAATGGTGGTCTTACTATTAGGTGTATAATAGGTATTATGCACTTAATTTTGTAAATAATCCTTTTGATAGGAAAGAGCATTAAAGATCACTTAGTCCACCCATCCACTCAAGCTTCTATGGGTTCTAGGATTTTTCCTACAATTAAATTATTCTGGAGATAATTTTATAGGATCATAGAGACTTCTTTCTTATGAAGTGATGTTAGAGAGTACATTCTTAGCTCTTCTTCATTGCTCCTTGAGATTTCTCCCCCAAATCAACTATTAAGGAAATATCTAAAGAATGGAACTGGTGCATCTGTTCATTTTAGTGAGATCATTTTAAATAATAACAACAGCTAGGGATGCTCCACTCTGTCCAGTTTTCTCCTATGAAGATGAGAAGGGAGGTCAGTTTGATTTCCTTGTACATTGCTGCCAGGCATGCCTTTAATAAACAAGGAAGTCTCTCTCTTGTTTTGCCCAAGGACTAAGCTTAGCCAGAGTCCTGAAAGTTGTCCTTCTTCCCAGAGTCCACAGATAATAAGCTGTCTGTTTGGGGATGGTGAAGGAAAGTCTTCACTAGACAAGAAACTTTTAAAGTAGTGTTCCGGGCTCTGATTTGATCTCCCACTTCTAGCCATTAATGCCAATAAAAGCCAGCAATGGGTGTGTCTGAGCTGTGTTTCACTGCCTGTGGTCCTGAGAGAGCACTCTTTGTCAGGGTATGGTTGCATTTTACATTGGAACAGTAGTGACTCAGATCCAATTATTCCCTACCCTCATAATCTGTCTTATTATTTTCTTAAAAATTTTTAATCCTCACCCAAGGATATGCTGCTATTGATTTTCTTTTAAAGAGAGAAGAAGGGGTAGGAGAGAGAGAGAGAGAGAGAGAGAGAGTGAGAGAGCACTCTTTGTCAGGGTATGGTTGCATTTTACATTGGAACAGTAGTGACTCAGATCCAATTATTCCCTACCCTCATAATCTGTCTTATTATTTTCTTAAAAATTTTTAATCCTCACCCAAGGATATGCTGCTATTGATTTTCTTTTAAAGAGAGAAGAAGGGGTAGGAGAGAGAGAGAGAGAGAGAGAGAGAGAGAGAGAGGCTCCTCCCTCCTGTACATGCTCTGACTGGAGATTGAACAGAAATCTAGGCATGTGCCCTGATGGAGAATTGAACCCACAACCCTTTGGCACATGGGATGACCCTCCAACCAACTGAACTATCTGGCCAAGGCTGTCTTATTCTCTTTTTAAAATTCTATTCGTTGCAGAACAAATGAAAAAGTAAATTATTTCACAGGGTTTATGAATTCCATTTACTTTCAACAGTTCTATCACCTTTCTCTCACTTATACATTTCTTTCTAGGAAGTTGAAAGTTTGTGTTCTGTCTCTCACAAAACTTCTGTAAGTCTCTAGATTGTCCTAGGCAACAGAAATCATGTGTATAGATATTAGCCTAGCCAGGATAAATTTCCATCAGTATGCAAGTTTTCAAGAAAAGGCAACATTGTGTATGCAAACTGCCAATACTCCCAATATAGTCACCATTTCTATTAATAATGTTTGCTGACCTTAAAACAGACTTCAAAAATCAATAGTTATATTATACATACATTCAAATTATCCCCATGTTATTTACCTATATTCATTCTAGACATTTCCTGCTGTTGCCTAATCATTGAATATGTATTCAAACGAGGCTAAAAAGAGATAACATGTTTTGGATCAAACAATATAATACTTAGGAAAACATTTACTTATGAGACATGGATTTAAAGCTTCCTCATAAATACTAGTTTCCTGTACAACCAAACTAAATAGAAATGGCAGAATGTCATTTTCAATTACAGTGAAATGTTATTAAAAGCAAGGTTCATATATTTCTTTGGCATCCCCACATGAGATATTGAAGTGCTTGGTACATAATAGGCATAACATAAAAGGTTGTTGATTGATTGTATTGTCAAACATTTTAATTAGTGCTGCCACTTTATTTTCAATATTTACTTTCATGCCTTTAGACTGGATTTGTGAGCGTGTGTGTGTGTGTGTGTGTGTGTGTGTGTGTGTGTGTGTGTGTGTAATTTAGATAATTCAACCAATTCAATTCAATCCAGTTATTATGTATAATTTCCACAACCCTGTGGAAATAACAAGAAACACTACAGATGAATAATTGTGATCATAATAAAGAAGAATCACATTTGCAAAGTGCTTTTGCTCTTGTGGGCAATCATATAGAGAGCAGATAAGTCAGGTTGGTTTGAAGACAAATGCACAACACTTACACGATCATCATCAGATAATCTCTTAGTGATATGAAGGGCACTCCTTCGAGACCTCCGGGGATGGTTTTTATGTCTGAATAAGTAATGATTTTCGAGTGATCCAATCTATAAAATAAAAGAAATTAAAAATAAAATCCACTTTCCAAAATAAATATATGGAGTCGATTGAAACCAAGCTAAATTAGAGACAGCTTTTATTAAGCCCATTCCTTGTACATGAAGTTAACTCTTTTTGTCATGAAGAAGATACTGATAGAAGCCATCCCTCTCTGGTTAGTGTGTTGAGTGAGATGAACCTCATGAAGTTATCACTTGGGCTCCCACTATACTTGGGGGCTGATGGTGCTTCTGTTTCACACATTTCAAAGGAACTCCATTTGTTTTTCTGTGAGACAATATTGTGTATTTGGGTAGACATTTCTTTTTTAAAAACCCATTTTATCAAATTCATTCTTTCGGAGAACAATAATCTGTAGAAAGCAAGCCAAACCTTTGTATACTATATATGGTCAGTGCCACATTCACTTGCAACAATTTGTTGTTGTTATCAAATATAACCATTGACTCCACAGTGATAATTGTTACAAGCTACTAGTAGTGACCATTAGACTTTCCACTAGTTTACAGCTTTGAGGGGAAAGCCAACATACCACATTTAGGGCAGGTGTAAACTCCCCTGGGTGACATCAACACCTTTGGTCCATTTAGAACTATGTTCATTATTCTTTTAAGCTATGTCCCTTTATTCAAAAGAGTAGTTAATTTGAAGCTACCAAATTCTCTAGATACCCTGTATTTCTTTTTAAATTAAGAGACAAATAATTGACAATGGGTTATTTCAGAAGAATTGTATTCTTTAATTTGGTGGTTCTCATCACCTAGATGATTTTTTTAAATCCTCACCCAAATATATGCTTATTGATTTTAGAGAGGTGGAAGGGAGGGAGGGAGAGAGAAAGAGAGAGAGAGAGAGAGAGAGAGAGAGAGAGAGAGAGAGAGAAAACACATCAATTGGTTGCTCTGATTGGGGGTGGAACCTGAAACCCAGGTATGTGTCCTGACCAGGAATCAAACCCATAAGCTTTTGTTATATGGGAGGATGCTCCAACCAGCTGAGCCACACCAGCCAGGGTATCACCTAGAGAATTATTAAATAGAGATCCTTAGGCCCTGCTCAAATCCTAAACTTCAGGGAGTAAATCTGTTATAAGTTCTAGACTGAGTTGGGGAGGAAAAACAGTAGCTATAGGAAAGATCGCCAATGCTTAGCTCTATATCTGCTATTAAACTGGTTTTGCTCACCCCCCAATCCTGAGGCCTTAAGGAGCTCAGCTAACTTAGTATAAACAGAGGGAGAAATAAGCAGAACCAGGAAAGCAGTATTAGTTTTTCACAAAGAACTGTTATTTTTTAAACATTTGTTAATAATGTCACTTTGACTAGAAATGGCTACAGAAAATATAGCATATGCAAATCATGTGTAAATATAGTTTTTCCTACTATTTTTTAAAGCTTGTGACTATGCCATCCCTTCCTTGAGGATCCTACCAAGAATTCTGATTTATTGTTTTTTAGTTTTGGTATTTATGAATTTGAAAGGCAATTCCGATAACGAATGGTCCAGGTTTGGATGTATGCCTGGGGCTAATAGGTGAGAAAAGGAAGAGGGGTTATCTTTCGCTCTCTCCCACAATCTCCTTCCACAGTTACCAGTGTTATTTAGCTGTCCAATGGTTATAGTATTAAACCCCTAGTCTGCTCCCCATCCTCATAGGACACACAGGATCTCCCTGATGCCCCAATACACACCAGTACGATTCCACTCAATACACACTCACTCTCTCAAATACAATTCCTTGCAGTTTCCAAATTACTACTAAGCAGCTTTCTTAGTATCTCCCTGTTTCCCACCAGCGATTTTCGATGTCTGGAGTACCTCTCCAATCTCATCATGCTTTCCTATCAAACTTTGGCTTCTTCCTAAACACAGTGCACCTGTTTCCTCCTTTGTGCTGTCCTCTTTCACCCCTCCCCAATTCCCTTCCAACTTCAATCCACAAATATGGAGACTCTGGGTACAGCTATTACTACACCAATTACATGCCACTACAACCATTTGTTTCTAAACCAGTCTCTTCTAGATGCTTGACTTTTTGAAAGTCTTTTCCTCCTAGTCCTCAGCCCCTAACACGGAGCCTGGCACAGAATAAGGTGTGAACAAAAGCGAAAGTCTTGGTCTGCTGCTGGGACACGGAGAAGGCGATCTGTGTACTGACGTTTCTACTGGGCATTTCGAAGACAGCTTGGCTCATAAAGTTGGAGAATGAAGCTTCTGGCAAAGGGAAGGCGTATTCCCCAGTGGATTCGCTCTATGGCGAGCCTATGCCCACGCAGATTACTCATCTGTGACTTCAGCCACAGCTCTACCACCACCTCCAGAAAAAAACGCGCCAAAATGTTTACAACTCCCTCCTCCTCCGCTCAACTCCCAAGGCAAGAGGTGCGGGCTTGATTCTAAGCCAAGGGACACTTAGATTAGAACTCACATCCCCTGGTTTTCTCCCCTGAATTACGCAGCTAACCAGCCCATCCCGTCCCCCTGCCCCTGCCCCCCCCCACGCTTACCCCGCCCGCAGCTGTCTATTAACCCAGTCCTCACTTGGAGGCAAATTTCCCTCACAAGCTGAAAACCCCAGGGAAGCTATTATGCATTTGGCTGTGGGACAAGAAATAAATAAATCCTTTCCCCACAGTCAGTTTTGAAGTTTGACCCCCTTTGGGTGGGGGTGGGAGTGCTGACCAAGCAAAGTTGTGAAGCTCGGACTTTCCAAGTTTTCGGTGAATTCCCCCGGCGTGAACAGTTGGTCCATATCTTTTACCCATCTTCTCTCCCGCCAGCTCCCCAGGCCCCCCCCAGCGACCCCCAACTTCTGGATCGCTAGTCCCGGCCACTGGCGCTCTCCCAACGCCCCAGACGCGCCCCCAAAGGCTTCCGCGGACATCTCCAAGCCTATTTAGCCCCTTGCAACAGGACGTGGGTCTGATGCTGCCATATTGAAAGGAAGGAAACAGCCGGCTCCTGACGCAGACTGGCTGAGTCCCAGGGGAGAGAGCGCACTGCCTCTCCCGGGGGCGCTTTGCTGGGAAGAGCTTGCGTGCATCTCAAGTTCGGTGAATAAGTGTGGAGGGATTTTTTCTTCAAACCGTGCGGGAACGGATTTCAATTCCAGAGCGAACAACAGCAAGAATAAGCTCTACCCAGCTGCAGCGGCTGCGTTCAGCCTGGCTGCGCCCAGCCCAAACAATAAAGAATGCAAGCGTTTTCGCTCCGAGCCCGCAGGGGCGAGAGCCGAAGAAGCTCCCTGTTCTTTGCCACGGGGCTGAGGAGAATGCAACCTGGGGCTCACTCTTGGGAGATCGCGCTTCAGTCCCGCCGGTCCCCTGGGGCCCCAGAAAGTTTCTTGAAAGTGCAAACTCTTACCTGACCCAAAAGGTCATAGCCCAGCTCTTCGGCTATGGCCGAGGCTGCCTCTGGTCCCCCGGGGATCTCCGCTGCCCATTCGTTCACAAACTGCCTCTTCGCTTTTACACTGTCCAATGCACACCAAGCGCAAAAGAGAGCGAAAGCAGTGCACTGCAGAGTCCAGGCTCCTCGCTGCATGGCTCACACGCTCGCTGGCACAGAAGTAGGAAGCAGAAGGGGGGGAAGAAGCCAGACAGGAGAAAAGCCAGAAAGATTCGCTCTTTCCACACTCGGGCTCAGGACCACCTCTCGCCCCGGTTGCTCTGGGAGAAGAGTGGAGGGACTCGAGGAGAGGCTGGGTGGTGGCGAGCGCTGAGTGCAGTTCTTTCCTCTCCGGCTGAGCGGAGCCCCAGCCCTTCCCCACTGGAATGGAAATGAGTGTTTACACGTCAAATCTACGAAAGCCATCTCTTGACGTCAGATCTACCTGGACTAAGATCTGGATGGTATTCCTGGCGGGGTGGAGAGGAGGCTAAAATTAGCAGCGAGGGATTAAGAAAAAGGAAGGAACCATTTGCTGGGATCAGTTAACGCTGTCCCTGTCTGGTCATAAATTCTGTAGCTGTGAGAAACACCTTCACTTCTAAGTGCCCCATTTGTTGGAACTACCAAGAACCAAAGGCTGGGAGTGCAGTACACTTTCCCTCCCTTCTGTCCGTTTTCCTTACATTTATTTGATTATCTCTTGGGGGAGGGGAGAGAAGGATTTTTATAATGACCCTGGGGATGTCAATCAGCACCTGCTGTAAAGAGCAGGGCGTTTAAATCTTTCCAACAGGACAGGGGCTGGGAGGGCAGTAGAAGAAAAGCGTCTACTCCCCAGATTCTGATCTAAATTGCCTAAGAAAATGAGCACGTCTGGAAAACAATGTTAGAGCAATGTTTTTTAAAATGTATTTTAAACCATCCAAACCATCTTAATGAACACGTTTACTTTTTTCTTTCCTCTGTCTCTCAATCTCAGTAAAACAATGTCTAAAATTCTGTTCTAGATATTGCAGAGCCCACTATCACCCACTTTATAATGCTTATTGGAAAAATGATTAAGCACATGTTGTTGTTTTTTAAACAGAAAATTATTTCTTTATTCACAAACCAGGAAGGGACTAGGGACCCAAATGCTGCTGTGTTGACTGGGCAGAGAAAGAGCAGGTTTCGTTAACTCCTAACTTTCCATTTTCCTTCAATAGAGCTCTTCACTTTGGTTTTGAACTGAAACTGTGCCATTACTTTCACATAAAATGCACATTGTCTCCTTGTGGAAGAATGTTTTTCCATGGAAAGCGAATTATCAAATGTCTAAATGAACCCCCGCCCCAGGGAATGAGTTTAGTCTACCGTGGCGGAGCCATTCCGATTCTGGGGGTTGAACCCGGCGGGAAAAGCCCTGGTGTGTAGTATTCAGCACCGAGGAATGGACAGCGCCACACGCGCTTGTGGTCAGAGCTGCCCTTCCTTCTGATCCGGGACTGCCGCTCTTCTCCAACTGGCTAGAGCCGAACTGTTTTTCTTTTGTCCTGTGCCTTTCTTCTCTTTTAAGTAGAAAATGGGATTCGACCGCAGGGGAGAAGTGTGGTTAGTTTCATGATCGTCACTACTTACATGGAACTCACGGGAACGTGTTGGACTCAGCCCCAAAGTAAAATTGCAAGGGATCAAATCTCATATGTGAAAGGTTTTCTTTCTTTTTCTTTTTTAAACTTCCAACCGCCGGGGGGCGCAATCAATTTTAGAGAAAGAGAAGAAAAGGGATGAGATTGGAAAGAAGGCATGTTAGTTTGTGAAGAAAGGAAGCAAAAGATATCCTTTACAGAAAGCAAATGAAACTTGGTGGAGAAAGCGGCTGAGTAGTACTAATTATTCAGTTGCCTCCATGTTTGCAGACATTTGGACTGCATTGATAATTTCTTTAAACATAAAGCTAAAAAAAAATGCCAATGTTAATGAGCCATGCGATGCAGTTAAGTGTATCACAATAACGTGAGTAACTCACATGAGATGTTGTGAAATGGTCTCAGATTGAAGGCTCTTCTGTCTGCTCTGTAAATTCACATGTGTGAGTGTTGGTGGCTGCATGAACTGTCTTCTTTCCCTTTCATGCCTCAGCCTGAATTGTGGCCTCAAGCTCTCTAGGGTGTTTCATTTTCACAGTAGACAGATGCTGTGTGCTAGCAAAGCAAAAGAAACTGTGGCAAATGTTTGATAGTGGTAGATATGGTTAGAGCAGAAATAGTTTGCCCTTTCTTATTATTGTTTGAGAAAATCAATTTGGCAGAGTGTTGGCAATGAGACCAGGGTCTCATTAATGAAACATTTGTCTTAAATGGAGCGCCCTGCAAGCCTGGAATAAACATTTGGTCTATGTACTTAATAGGGTAAACTACTTCTCATAGTAAGAAGGTACTATCCCCACCCAAACAATATATATGAGTACTTTATTCTGAAATTGTCTGAATTTTATCTGATGAGCATTATATGCCAGTTTCTGGGGATGTAGAAGAAATGAAAGTTTACTAAGGCTAGGGGTGCACATTAAAATGTAGGATCTGCCCTAGCCGGTTTGGCTCAGTGGATAGAGCGTCGGCCTGCGGACTCAAGGGTCCCAGGTTCGATTCCGGTCAGGGGCATGTACCTTGGTTGTGGGGCACATACCCAGTGGGGAATGTGCAGGAGGCAGCTAATTGATGTTTCTCTCTCATCGATGTTTCTGGCTCTCCATCTCTCTCCCTTCCTCTCTGTAAAAAATCAATAAAATATATTTTAAAAAATAAAAAATAAATAAAATGTAGGATCTGTCTTAACTTTGTCAAATTAAGGGCTAACTAGCCTATCCTGATGTGTGGATCATAATAATAACCTACAGGCCCATCAGTTTTGTATTTATATCATGAATTAGAAGAGCCAAGTTAGTTTTAATAGCATTTGCTTCATTTGCTTAATTTATATATAAAACAGGATAATTAAGAAACTGAAGAAGATTGTAATTCTGTTGTGAATTATCCAGTGAGTATCATGCCTTTCATGATTGCTCCCATCTGCCCAGTGATACGGTTAATTATTTATTAAGTTTTCTTAGAGAGTAATAAGAGCAAGGCTAGTATAAACAAGAAGTAAGAATATGTTCAAAGACCTGTAGATCAACATATCTCTTTAATCTTAGAAAACAAAATTTTAAACCCTTTGTTACTGTGAAATGAAGTATTTACACTACTAGTAAAGTGCCCAGAACAATGTGATCAATAATTTATCACAAAGTGAACACTGTGTAGCCATTCAGATCAAGAAAAAGAACATTGCTAGCCCTTCAGAATAATATTCCAAGATTTTCAAGGGTCATAGGCGAAGGAGTGAGGACATAACTTAGGTTTAACATTTTCTAGTTGTGCAGACTTACCTGTTTCCTGTGGGTAAATACTAGCTGTATATTAAGACAATTCTGTAATTAACTAGTCTGTAATGAAACTAGAAGATATCCGGTAACAGAACATATTATAAAGGCAAATCTACCGATAGCAGTGTTTCCCAACATAAAAAATAACAATTTTTATATGGCATGCTGGGGTAAACTGGAGGAAATTTGGAGAGACCTGTATGAGGCTTGGTGAAGAGATTCATTATATTTTTTTTCTAAAGACATTTTATTATATTTTTGTTAATCCTTACCCGAGGATATTTTTCCATTAGTTTTTAGAGAGAGTGGAAGGGAGGGGGAGAGACAGAGAGAAATATCAATGTGAGATTTCCCAGGGCTGGGGATCGAGCCTGCAACCAAGGTACTTGCCTTTGACCAAAATCAAACCCAGGTATTTTAGTCTGCGGGCTGACGCTCTATACACTGAGCCAAACTGGCTAGGGCTCATTACATTTTCTTTATATAAAACAATTTTGGTAAGAAAATAGAATAGAATATTTGGGCAGTATATTAAAATTGAATATATATTACTTTGAATTGAGAAATATGAATATACTTGCATCCATATAACTTTTTGCCTCAAATCAAATTTTATGTTTGAAAACCTATGTACTATTTCTAATAAAAAAACATTTTAATCAAAATCTTCTCAAATTCTTGATAGCTGCTGTCAATGAAAAATTTTATTTGCATAAATAAAGAATAAACATTTTGAAATAACTTTTATAACCATTAAAACATTTGCAAAATTTGATTTTAAATATAGCAACTCTTCCTTTTACTTCCTTACCAAATTTACCATTGGAATGTCATAAAAGAATGCTATAGGGTTTAAAATCCACCTAAATTTTGTATGTCAAGTATTACAACTTATACTGCAATTCTAAATTTAAAAATATACACTGTTGTACATGTCCATGAAAAAATAAGATAAAAATAAATTTTAAAAATACACATACCTTTTAGAGATGTTACCATGCACTTACTTTGCTACAAATGGGTAAACATGTTTAATCTATGGAAAGGCTGATATTAGGACCATCACCTAAAGATACATGGCTGACTTTCTTATCCCCCATGGCCTACATTGAAGCAGTTCGTGAGAGTGTTGCTAAGAGTCCAGGGACATCTATTTGGCACCGTGGTCAAGAATTGGACATATCGAGAAGCTCTCTACAGTGTATTCTCACAAAAGATTTGCATCTTCATGCTTACAAAGTTCAATTGACTCAAGAACTGAAGCCTA